TTGCCCTTATTGGGAACCAAACCCACGTCTCTCTGGACCGCAAGCCGATGCTCTAACCGCTGAGCCAAACTGGCTAGGGCTAGAGTTTAGTACTCTTAAATAGAGAATGAATTCCTCCATCCTGATCAAAAAATAATCAGTCAGAATTCAGATCTCACTTTCAAGGACTTGTAATTTATCATGGAATTCTTGAACTTCAGCTTGGAGGAACTCTCCGCTATTTGGAGAAAATGTGCATTCTGTTTTGAATTCAGCCTGTCATCCCAGACCTATCCATGTCTATCTGTTGTTTACCTTCTTGTCAAAGCAGTTTTCCTGCCCAGACAACTTTTGCCTAAAGGTAATATGTTCTTAGTTAAAATAAATCAGTTTGTCTCTGTAAGCTCATGAAAAACTCAGCATACTGCAGTAACTCACTTTTTATTATGATTAGTGAAACTTTGAAGTAGTCCATGTTTTTAAGACAGACACTCTACAAATCTCTGTATATTAACCCAAGGGTAAGTGCTTTGTTTGTTTCTTTCCATTTTCAAGCAGTTGCCCCTCTGAAAAATTTGAAAATTTTCAGAATGAAAAAACAAAGTAAAAAGGGAAATAAAAAAGATTTAAAGAAACATTGATTTATGAAGCAATTTCAGGTTGTACCTTTGATAATTTGGTGGTTCTCTTAAATACCCTTTTGGGTTTCTCTTCAATACCAATATAACAATATAACTGGGTACTTTCTGACATCAAGCTAGAACAGGAAAATAAAGTTTGCATAAAAAAACCTTCAGGGTAATTGGCTTACAAATGGAATATATTCCATTATGCCAAAAAATAGTTGGAAGGGAAAGAGTAAAATATTCTTTATACATTGTATTCTCACTCTGCATTGAAAAATAAAATATTAAAATAGTTGGCTTACAAATGGAATATATTCCATTATGCCAAAAAATAGTGGGGGGGGGGGAACTAATATGCTTTACATATTAGTTCTCACTCTGCATTGAAAAAGAAAATATTAAAATAAGTAGAAATTTTACATTAAAAATAAAATCATTCTTTTAATGAGAAAAATGATAGACTAATAGTAAATATCTTTTTAAAGCTTCTCAGTATCTTTTACACTATTAAAAAATCAGCTGCATTAGCAGGTTTTATTTACAAAGAAAAGCTTATGTGGTCATGTCATTAATCATTGATGCTCAGTGACATACAGAACTTCAAACACATCTTGCTCTATTACATCTTTTTTGAGGTGGCCATCAAACTACACGTAAAATTGAAGGTATGTTGACATTGCATTTCATAAAAGCAAGATAAGAGTGTAGATTTTTTCTAGTGCTCTTCCTGGTTTTGCACATTCAGAGGCTCTTTGGCCTGTGGCATAAGGGACAATCTATGCTTTTTCTCCCCAGTACACTCTGGCAGATCTGCTTCCTGAGAGGTGGTCAACAACCAACCTTCCTTACGTTTGGTTCGACCGCGTGACTCCTAGAGGCATTGCATGTACAGACTCACTTTGGAACAATATGCTACTTTCATGCCCATTGGCACAAAACTCCTGAAGGCTTCCTGTTATCCATCCTCATGAGCTTGACTTCCTACTTCCTAGACATTTACGGGATCTCACTGACTGTCCATGAATCAAACTGCCCCAATTAAGGACCATTTCTAATGAGAGCAGTTCTCACATTTCTCCATTTGGGATGTAAACAGCTTCTCTTTGCTCCTTGCTTCTTTTGTTAATGCCAATTCTTTTTCACCAAAAAAAAAAAAAAAATAGAAACCCCAATCCCAAGGGAACTTTAAGTAATAATAGCCTTTGTTATGGAATCTTGTCAAAGTCCTTTAGAACATATTTCTTCTCTCCTTTCCCCCACACCCTTTTCTTCACCCTGTTATATCTACTGAAAATGTTTAAATTTAAAAAAATCCATTTGTATTTGAGTCTTTGGTGCCCCCATTCTCCCTTGGGGAGTCAGTCATCTCCACTCACTCCTCGAACCCCTTCGAGGTTTGTCAGTGCCAGGACTGAGCAAGGTCTGAAGTCAGCCAACCCCTTGAATCCTTCTTCCTGACAGGGGTCACATTTGCAGTCTGGCACAGTAGCTTGCATAACAATACATTCCAGTGGGCTAATTTCACCCTTGAGTTCCTGCAAAACTCTCATTGAGGTGCCCTCCACTTGGTGATTTATCTAGATTTATTATGTCAATTTGGCAGAATAGCTCTGATACAACCACTGTTGGATTTAATAGCATTAGTCTTGCATTTCTAGGAACAATGCAGGACTGGCAATGTCCCTATGATCTTCTTCATTAAAAGCTAAGGTTTAAGAATTCACCCATGAGCTATCATTATTTCATCCTTTGGAGAATGCTCAGTTCCAACATCATCTATGTTCTATTCTCTTCTTAAGTTAAATGGTTCTCTCCGATTCACTGAAAGAAACTCATATCGCTCTTCAAATCTCATAAATAATGCTCATCTATTTCTTTGCATTTTGAACACAACTTTATGTTACTGTTCTTTCATACTGTAGCCTTTCCTGTTCTCATTATTTGAACCATATTTCAGTTTAGGAAAATAAACTAATGATTTCCTAAAATAAAATTTTTGATACTTCCAGTTGTCTGTGCAATTGGGAATGCAGGGAATATAGAATAATTTTGAATGGGATGAATTTTACAAAATCATCACATTTCTATTATAGCTACGTGCTCTAAAATTAGTAAACAACATAATGAGTGGTCATTCAAAATTCTAGAGGCACCAATTATAGTGATTAATAATCATTAATTAATATAAGAAATGTATTGTTCAGTAACCCTGTGTGGGACAAAGTGCAAGGTAACAAAATTCACCTAACTCAGAAGGCCGTTTCTGCCCCCAAGGACCTATCAGTGTGGAGTTGAGTCACATGTATCTGTAAATAAATAAATCAAGGTTCCATGGTGTAGGTGCCATATAACAGGTAAATGTGCAGGGAATAGTGGTTGCTTCCACATCCGGGGGAAAAAACTCTTTTCAGAGCAGAGTGAATGATGTTACTGAGCTGGGACTTGATGAATGGGTGGGTGAGTCCCGAGCAGATGGGAAGGGCAGGGGCATTAAACAGTGGCTGTGTGGTGTGGAGTGCAACAGAAATGGTAGCTGATAAGACTGGAGAAGACAGAAAAAACTGAAACCAAATCCTTAGGCAAACAGAGGCAATGAGGGTTTTAAATAATAATTTAATATGATCGAATTTGTGATATGAGCATTCTGACAGATTGTTTACGAGGTTATTATAAGAGCTGATGAAGGAAATGGCAGTGGGAATGAGAAGAGAATGGGTTTAATATCCAGTTAAGAGGTATATTTGAGTCCCTGCAACATGTGTTCAGGATGGTAGTGAACTGAGGAAGAGCAAGGTCAAGGGTGACACCCACCCCAGGATTCAGTTTTGGGTAACTAGGCACATGGTGACTCCAACAACTATAGGACTATAGGAAGAAGAGGAGGTTAGTAATAGTATTGGCTTGACTATTATGGGAAAGCTCTGTAAGCATCAAATGAACACATTTATTTTGATGTGGGGTATCCAAGTGAAGATTTCCAATAAATATTAAATAGTCTTGTGGTCAGGCTTAGAAATATAAATGGGGGAGCCACTACCATAGGGTTCAGTCAGTTTTGCATTCTGGCTCGATATTTTTCAGATACTCTGCTAAGAAGGACAGCAACAAAGATGAATAACAAATTATCTCTCTCTAAAGTCTAGAAGGAACAAAGAGACAGCTATTTATTGTATATTATTCTTCTCATATGTCAGCTATATGAATCTTATTCATATAAATGATTTGTTCTATATACAAATCCTTTGTCAATACAGATTTACCTTTCAACCACATTATTGTTTTAAATGATTCTTGATCATTCTTAAGAGTAGCTACTATCAAAGCAATGAATTACTAATATGATACACTTTCTGATGATATAAGAATAAATAGCTCGTTCCAGCTGGAAATCACTTAGCTGGAAGAATATACTTCTTACAGTATGCCCTTTGTATCACATCTTGTGAAGGGCATGTTAATTATACATTGTAAATCAATTAAGATTTGGCAGCTCTAGTGCCGTTTAGATAGAAGGAGAATTATTCCAACAGAACTCTTACTTTTACTCCTTTATTTTTTATTTTATTTTTTGTTGTTGTTAATCCTCACCCAAGGATATTTTTCCATTGATTTTTTTTTTTTTTTTTTAGATAAAGTGGAAGGGAGGGAGGGAGAGAGAGAGACACATCAATTGATTGCTTCCCACACAACCCCAACTGGGGTCAGGAATCAAACCCACAACTCAGATATACACCCTTGACTGGGAATCGAACCCAAGACCCTTTAGTCCATGGGCCAACATTCCAACTGCTGAGCCAAACCGGTCAGGGTACTTTAGCCCCTTTAAAATACCAACCCCCTTTGAAAAGTAAATGTATCAACATAAGTACAGTTGGCTTTCAGGAAAGAAATGAGAGTTGAAAAAAGAAAATGTGTGATTAAAAAATTACTATAGTTACCCTAATAAAAGTCAGGAATTCTACGACAAAAAAAAAAACAAAAACACACAATTAATTGTTTTTCTGAAGCAGTGTTTAAATAAATTGTAGAAATGGTAGCATCATTATGCATAAATGTATTTTATAAAACCCAAAGTGAAAATCATGTTCTGTCATTTTAATCCATAGTTAAATGGCACATATTCCCCTGGCTACCAGTTCATGCTTTGAGCAAGTTGACATGTACAAAGAATAACCTGAAGCGTCTGCAAGCTCTTGGGGAAAAAAGGAAACATTGATTAGACAGTTTTTTGGAAATGTGTGTTGACTTGTATTCACAACCTTTGCTAAAATGGATTGTTCACATAATGCAGCGAGTGTCCTGTGAATTCTACAGAACAGAAAATGTCAAACCCTGTTACTGGAAGTTTTCCAAGTGACCTCTTTTTTTTTTTTTTTTCCTATTATCATTAAACAGGGAAGGCCATGGCAAAATTTCAGTATTTGCTGTCAAAATGGCATTAGCCACGTTGTGTGGAGGGAAGATCATGGACAAATTAAGATGTAAGTTACTTTTTGTGTCTCTCTTTGCTTCTCTCTCCTGCATACCACATTCCCTCCCCCTCCTTCCTGCCGTGGCCCCTGCTCATTTGTGACTTTCCTCATGCTGTGACAGTTGTTAGAAATAGGATCTTTATTGATCTTCATTGATCTTCGGATTTTGTCATAGAAATATTTTCATATTACATAAGTGTTAATGAAATGAATGTTTTTCTTCTACTTACAGGTTATTATTATGTATAGCCCATGGAGTAGTATGAACTAGACTTTGTGATATTAAAGTAAGATATACATTAGTTCAAGTTCATTGTACTGTACTGCCCTATGGACAAGTTCGTCATTATAGGGACTTGAAGGCCTTGTTGGGTTGCCATCCTTTCTTAGGTAATCCAAAGCCAAAGCTTCCAGTATATTTCATCCTTCTTCTCAGTCAGTGCTGTTCAAATCACTAGAAACTCCAACCATTCCAAAGTAAACATTGCCAGGGTAGGGGGCATAGTTACTGCAGAGAACTATAGGCTGCGAATTAACTGGATGCCAATAAAAACATGATAGCCACTGTACTCTGAGTGATTATGGGGCTTTGTGTACCTTTTGTCATGAAATATGTTAGAGTTTTAAATCAACAAAACAGTGGGAGTTTTTTGGTTAATTGTAGATTAAGAAGCTGAGACTCAGAGTTAAAGTAAGTCCCATGACTAAAATGGTACCAGGATTGAAGCCTGACTATCTTCCCTATACCCATGGTTCTCAAATTTTAGTATGTGTAGAATCAGATGGAATACTTTTTTGGTTTTGGTTTTTAATCCCCCCCCCCAGGATATTTTTCTATTTATCTTCAGATAGAGTAGGAGGGAGGGAGAGGGAGAGAAACATCAATGTGAGAGAGACACACCGACTGGTTGCCTCCCACAGGACCCCAACCAGAGCCGAGCACTGAATCACAACCGAGGTACGTGACCGTGGCCGGAATCAAATCCGCAACTCATTGGTATGTGGACCGACGCTCTAACCATTGAGCTAAACCGGCCAGGGCACCTGGAGTGCTTTTTAAAACATATTTCTGGGCCCCACTCCCAGAATTTCTGATTCAGTGGGCCTCGGGCAGGGGTAGGGTGCAAGAATCTTTGTATCTAACTGGTTTAAAATGATGTATATGCTACTGTTTAAAAGAAAAATTTTTATTTATCTCTCTTCCTTATCCTAAATAATATGAATGTGTGTTATAATGTAAAGAGAGAAAGAACACTGTGATGGGAACGAGGAGTCCCAGGTTGTGAGCCCAGCTTAAGACTAATTTGCTGAGTTATCCTCAAATTAACTCAGCAAATTAGTGAAGGAAGTTACTTCACTTCTTTAGTCCTCAGGTTCCTTGTCCACTCTAAATGTGGCGATTTTGTTAGCTACCTATGTGGTCCCTCTTGGCTGCATTACCTGTGAGTCACAGCCTCTCCTAAACGTGGTCCCTTTTGCTTCTGGAGGCACCAAGAGTGAAGGAAGGTACAGAAAAATAAAAATAAAAAAAACCTTTGTTCTTTTGGAATTGCCCCACACGTGCTCCAAAGCAGAGTTGTAATGTCCAGGAGGCTTTTCTTTCAGGGTCAGGCTGCAAAGAGAAAGTTTAGCAAATGAGCCAGGGCAAAGGAGGAAACTTCTGAGGGTCTTGCCTGCTGACCTCATGTCACAATTGGCCACTTACGCTAAGAACATTAGATAAATGTTCTTTTTTTTAAAGTCTCAAGAAACATTTTCAAATACTTATTCAATGTTATAATGATAGGTACCTGGATGAGAGGGTCCCATATTAAAATAAGTTGGAGGAAAACGAGGACAGTTTTCTGCACTTTAGGACTCCTCTGAGCCTTTCATACACCAGCTTAATTCTGTGCCATCAAGGACCCTGGTTTTTCCCTCTGTCTACCCAGCTTTCCTCAGTATCAGATTTTATCCTTCTCCTGGGAGAAAAGTGGGTATAGCAGTTTCAGGAGTCATATCTCACCCCAGAGGTCCCCTAGCCCTAAAATCCCATTGCACAGACACCACCGGCCAGTTACTGCACCAGTTACCGGTAACAGGAATGACCATGGTGATCATGGAGGCATGCACTCTCACATCCTAGCCTGGGAAGGGCCACTGCTTTCGCTTAGCCTGGGAAGAAACTTGGGGCCAATAAAGATGAAGGGAATGACTGTTAGGTAAGTAATAACAATGTCTACACAGTTACAAAGCTCAAGATATAATAACTAAGATTTTGAGATCTTTACCAACTGTGAAGACCCGTACAGTCCTCTTGCAAGTCCAGGAATTCAGAGCAAGCAGTGTAACTGCTGCAGTACTTTTTCCTCCGCATCCCACCCCGCACCCAAAACTCCCATAATAAGGGGCAAGTATGCATGCTGTCTAGTGGCCCAAGTAGATCCTCTTCAGTAATGAACTCATGAGTCCCGTCGGAACTAAACTGTGTTCTCCAGAAATAAGCTTCAGAGTGTCACAAATTCTGCCAAAAAAAACCAGATAGTGTGATCCCGATGTATTATCACATCGCCCACTTCCAGAGCTGTGGACCTGACGTGTCCCCAGTTCTCTGACAGAGCAGTAACTCTTGGAAGAGTTAATCCCAGGAAGATGGTTTAAGTGATTTCCAGATAAGCCAGTGAAAGCAAGTTGACCAAAAAAATTTAGCTAAAAGCAATTTTTTCTGGAAAAACCTCTCCAAAATGTTAATTGGTCAGAAATCAATGTCCTTAGTCACCAGTGATAGTTATTGACTGAATGGGCAAGTAGGAGCAAATCTGCCCACAGACCGCAGTAGGTGACTTGGTTAGCTGCATATGAATGTTTTCACTTGTTGTCTTTTGCTGGCTTGCATTTAATAATAGAACAGGCAAAAGAGTGATTTTCTGCATTTTTTTTTATTTTTAATAAGAAAAAATAAAATGAAAGGATATGGAATTTTTCGGGATTTGAGGGTTTTGTTTTTCCTTCTTTAATTTCTAATTCCCTTTAAGCCAATGTACTAGCTGTGTTGTTTTTTTTTTAGCAATTTTTCCATTTTTGTGCATAGGGATGAAAGATATTTTGTTTGTCCCAATTAGCCCCTTAATGTTGGAGAGCACAGGACAAGAGTAATTGGCTGAAAATAAATTTGAAATCTTAAAATTCAAAGAAGTGGAAAACCACAGAAAATTTAAAGCTGAGTTTTTAAAACTTAAATGCATTAAAAGGAATGACAAACCCAGGTGGCACCACAATTGCCCATACTCAGGGCCACCAGGAGCCAATTAATATGCAGGTGTTCATTGTTCACCTCCAGGCAAGCTAGAGTATGAGGGCACCCCCTGCAATCGTAGGACTCAGCTACCTGAACATAAACTGACCTAATCTACTCCTCCTGTCTAATAGTTCTTGGACTGATCATAGCCCATTGTTTTAATGAGATGGAACACTTGTCTGTATTTCTGCTCAGGGTCATGTCCTAAGGATCCTAAAGAATTCTCAATGCAATGCTGTAGGCTTGGAATGCCAGGTGCTGTCCTAAAGTTTCTGGGGATGGAGGGCTTGTTTTGTTTTCTTTAAAAGACTAGCACCGTGTCAAGCATCATGTATTTGTTGAGCTTCTATGGCTGAACTGACTGTTCTGCCTCCATGCCTATCCCCAGGATAATATTTCTAATTCACCAGCGTGCCTTAAATTCTTCAGTATCTCCCCAAACATCTCTGTACACAATCTATACTCCTTCATGGAGCTTTTGAAGCTCTTCCTTTCTCCACCTCATCTCCCACCAGACACTGTGTATACTCCCAGGCTCCTGACAGAGTGAACTATGTGAATATCGCTGAGTGTGTCATGCTTGGGCATGCCTCTGCACATCCTGACCTGGCTTCCTGAGCCTGACTAACCCCTAATTGTCCTTTACACTTGGCCTAGAACTCACCTCTGTAAGGAACTCTTCCCTGACCCACTCCTCCCCCTGGGAACCCTCTCTCTGAGTTCCTGCTGCTCCTATATACCTTACTGTACACCCTACTGTTCCCATATTCACGCCACCATGTTACAATGTAAGGTGTCATATGATGCACGATGTAAGCATGTCGCTGTCATCCTCAACAGACTGGGACCTTCCAGAGGGCAAGACTAGGGCCTCCTTATTTTTCTGTATATTCATTGCTTAGTACAATTACACACATTTAATATGTGCTAAGTTAATTTTAGTTGAATGAATCAATGAATGTAAATTCTTCTACAACATCTGTCACTGTATAGTATTGTAGGAAGTATAATGGTGGTTTACAGTATAATTTAGAACACTGAAGAATATTTGCAATGGGGAAGCAAAGCCTAACTATGAAGCAAATTACAGGAAAAAAGTTATATGAATTTAGTAATAAAAATAACAGACAATCACTGTGTACTAGGTGCCAAGCACTATTCGAGTACTTTACATCTCAGTGCTTTTCACCTGTTAACTCATTTAATCCTTGAAAATTGTACCTTAGGGCCTAGAACTAAGGTACAAAAACATTTTTTGATAGCTTCTTTAGAGTCTCTTCATTTCTTTTTAAAAACCTGAGTGGCATTAACAGTCACTTTCCTTTAATCCCAGTGACCGAGCCCTAGTTTGTCTATTGCTTAACAAAACTTCATTGGCATAAATGAGGCTAACATTAGCTTCAGGTTTGTGAGAGGTCGCTGTTGGTACTCCTTCTGCTTTCGCTCTAGTTAGAGATGCCTAAATTGTTTCAGTGGGAGATTCAAAAGGCCCAGTCTACTTTTCAAAATGTGCCCTGGCCTAGAAAATCTCAAGATCAAGCCTGGCCTAGAAGATCCTCAGGATGGCCCAATTATAGCTGAATCAACCTCCCTAAAAGCAAACAAAATGGTAACTCTAATAAGCAAGTTCATTACTTTTCCTAGGGTTCTTTCCCCCCTTTTCATTGGAATTCTTGAGTGTCTATATTTGGAATGCCATAAGAGTTTTTTGCTATAAGAGGAGTTTTTTGCCTTTGGCAACCTTTTTATTTTTGACAAAGTATAAGGAAACATTAGAGATAAAATTCACTAAGTAAACATCGTGAAAGTAGATGAGAGCAACATTAATTTTGTTACACAGTAGAATTTCTATAGCCTCATAGTTGATAAACTATTTGAAACAAAGCAGAAATTTTTTATAACTGGAGTATTTAAAGAAAATGAGAGCCAATTCACATCCTTAACACATAATTCAATGAAAGTCTGTAATATGGTTAGCATCTGACTGCAGTATAAAAAGAATGTCTCCAGATTACATTTTGACCTTGAAAAAGTAAGCCCCAAATGAACAAAGGTAGCACACTGAATTTACAATAGTTTAATCCCAGCCTCTGTGCTGCCCTCATTGCAAACTAGCATGGTGACAAACTATTTGATAGCAAACCCTTTCGTTCCAATAGTGGTTTTCCACAGAGGAATTATAAAGTACCTTGGGAAATTATGCCATTAATATTCATTAATTGCACATAGTGGCAGAAGCTGAAAAACAGAGGCCCAATAAAGCCATAGGCTGTGCTGAGAATAATCTCAGACCCTGACTTTACCTCATTGATCATCCACAAGGCCAGGCTTCCTCTTGACTGCATGAGTCAAAAGACCCTTCCCTGTAAATCAAATGCCTTCCGCCCAGAACACAATGATTTATAGAAAGTTTTCTGCTTCTGTGGAGAGTTAATCAAGTGTTTTTGTTACCTCCTTATCCCCATTGTGTCTTTCATTTTTCAATATTTTAAACCAAAACCAAACCCAAGTGATGATATAGATGCATTAATAGCTATCTAGCTACACACACACACACATACACACACACACACACACATACCAATGCTGTAGTTTCATTTTCATTGTATGTTTCAAACAAGGTCAGCATATTTCTTACATATACAAAATTTTCTCCCATTGAGTTATAAGTTAACAATTGACTTAAAAATAACAATGTTAGGTTCTCTCTTATCAAAATATGCTGATTTTATCCAAATTACTAGTTAATACTATGTACCAGAATCATCTACAAAGAGACACCAAAGAAAACACCCTGCCAGAAATATTTCAGCCTAAAAATTAGCTCTTATATTATTCTTTCATAAATATTATTTATTCTGCCATATTTTTGTTATTGGAAGCAAATAAGTTGAACCGAAATGGTAGGGAATGTATACATGATGAATGAATATCTTTCCTTTCTCTTCCATCAGATATTTTCTCAATGATTTCTGACTCCAGTGGGGTGATGGTTTATGGACGATATGATCAATTCTTGCGAGAAGTTCTCAAACTACCCACAGCAGTTTTTGAAGGTCCTTCATTTGGTTACACGGAACAGTCAGCTAGATCCTGTTTCTCTCAACAGGTAGGGAAGAGCGTGTTTAATAGTATCTTTCAAACAGCGGTTGCTTTCCTTCTATATGTCACTTCAACTCACTACTTAGGACAAGTTTTTTTTTAATGATAACCTGTAGTATATCTTCCAGTCTCTGACAAATGACCATAAGTGGGTAACTAAACTTTACACAACTAGATAATGATAATAGGCTATGTCTCCTGACTATGACCCAGGCACTATGCTAAGTTTTTTACTTGTATTGTCAAATTTAAACCTACAACAACCCTATAGTCTCAGTATCATTATTATTACTGTATTATCAAAAGGACTGAATTATCACTCAGCCTCACATGACACACAAGTCTGACCCACCACCAAGTTTCCCAGAGTTGAGCAAAGAAGACAAAAAGATATGGCACATGCCATGTTGCAGTGTGGGATTCCCAAAATATGATAGAAGTGGCTACCTAAAGCTTCCACGACATGACACATTTACGGCTCAGAATGCCATGTTTCACCTGGGGTTGGTACAAGTTAGCCCAGGAAGCTGCTGAGTTTGGGACTACTCCATGTGTGTGTCTCTCCAGTCATGTAGAAAGTCTCCATCTCTAGCATCATTCTCCAGCACTGCACAGTGGTAGTTTACAAATCCATAAATTGAAAGTTTGTTTACACCCTTTTAAAAATCCAAACTAATTAGAAAGTCTTCTAAAAAGATCCCCTAAAAAGGAAATCAATGCATAGGAACCACTGAAAAGCTACATTTACTGTCTAGCTGGTAAACTTTATCATTCTGTTTCCTTCGTGATCTAGAAAGTCAAAAGTGCCTCAGACATCACTGCAGTCATGGATATATGTAAATTTATGTTGGATTATAAACATATCCATACAATAAATAAGGGAAGGAATAGTTTGATACAGTAAGTACTAACTCTTCTCCTGTGGCATCTTACCCAGGAAGCCTTTCTGACCCCACACCCCCCACCCCAAGGCTGGCTGAGGTGCCTGATCTCTGCCCCAGGCAGGACTTGGTGATTGATGAGAAGTTCTGGGCCATGAAGTTGTACAGAAGGAGGCTTAGGTGAATAGATCCATAGTCCTCTTTCAAATTCCCTTTGGAGTTGGTGACATTGGAAGGGATCCATTCACCAAATTCTGCTGATTTTACTTTCTAAAAGTTTTTCAGATCTCTTTCCTTATCATCATCTATTGCCTAGCCTGTTGCATTAAGCCCTAAAGTAATCTCTCTGCCTCTGAATTTATTTGTTTGTTTGTACATTTGTTTATTTTAGGTAGTATATAATAGAATCTTCAGTAAATGTATTAATGCTTCAGTATATTTCACATTAAAAATTAGCTAGAATAGTAAGATTTAAAAATTTTTATTATGACCTATATATTCAAAAAGAATTATATAGGAGGTTGCTATTGCTTAAAATTCCTTCTGCAATATCCTATAGATATTCCCATTTTACATAATCTTTTATGTATCCTCAATGAGGGGAAATTTATACATGTTGAAATTATAATATTTTTTTAAACTTCCAGTTATTTTTACCAGTATGATAGTCAAAATGAATAAGACCATTTGAAGTACAAAAAGAGGAAACACAAGTGACTGGCCAGGTGGCTCAGTTGATTGAAGCATCAACCCGTACACCAAAAAAGTTGTGGGTTCCATTACCAATCAGGGCACACACCTAGGCACACCTAGGTTGCAGGTTCAATCCCCATTTGGGATACAATTCATCTCTCTCTCTCTCTCTCTCTCTCTCTCTCTCTCTCTCTTTCTCTCTCCCTCTCTCTCTCTCCTTTGCTCTTCCTCTAAAATCAATAAACATCCTCTGGTGAGGATAAAAAAATTAAGAGGCAACACAAGTAAAAATAATAAGGCCCACTTATTTTTATGCTTTATAAACCGGCTATAATAGCAGTTTGATGGATGAAATTCCAAAATTGTTTTAATTGCTTCATTGGAAAAAGTACAAGCCACTTCAAATGATTGTTTTGAAAGACAGAATACGTATATAAATTATGGGAGCTTTTAAAAAATACTATCTCATGACTTATACTTTACATAATTTATCTTTTAATAATAATGTTTATATCAATCCTACAAAGAGTTTAAAGTATTTAGTACTACAGGGGAGGCTAAAATTGTAAATATCTGCTGATTAATCAAAGAGTACTAAAACGGTTGTCTTGTGAATTACTAGTGTAAGGAATAGCCTTTAAAAAGGCACTATAGTCCTTTAGGACTAATTTCTTGTCTAAAGAAATAAAACTATCCCATCCAACCTCATATTCTAAATCAAAATTTTAAATAAAATAGTGATTTTTTGGCATATAAACATGTAATTTCTTGTCATTCATTCTATTAAAATATCATGTATTAATATAACTTCTCTTTTGTTATTTTAAAAGAAACTTATAGACGCAATACATTCATTTTATATATCAGAAGGGACCGGTATAATGAGACAGAAGCAGCTGGAATTAAAAGATACATAAAGAGAGAAGAGAATTTATTTAGATGTAGATTATTCTCTCTTAATGGGGAGGATTGCTTCCTCTTAACAGCATTCCCTTCTGAACTAGTACAGTAGAACCTTTCACGTTGACCATGAAATATTTAGTACTCACAGAGACTGAGGAAGTTTGCAAGGGAAGTTATTCTACAAAGGAAGAATACTGATATGGGGATTGTAGTGTCTGCTATGACACACAATTGGGTAAAACTTTATGGAAATTCTTCATCTTTCTGCATCATTTTCATACTGTCTCTTCTATATAAAAGTGATGCTCTCAAAATGGTTTTTCTCCCTGTGATAATATTGACTCAGCCTCAGTGGAGATGATTCAGTTCTGTGTATAAGTATAAAACACAATCAATGTTTTAAATTTTGCCTAACTTAAGTTTCAAGTTCTCTTTCTTCATATATTGGAGGGTAATGGGATGTCTTGTTCCTTCAATCTCAAACAATAGTTGCATAGCAGGTAAATTACACTTATCCTCTGTTCTAAACTATTGTGGGGCTTTTGTTTTGTTTTGTTCGATGCAGAAAAAAGTCACGTTAAATGGTTTCTTGGACACACTCATGTCAGATCCTCCCCCGCAATGTCTGGTCTGGCTGCCCCTTCTGCATCGACTGGCAAATGTAGAAAATGGTGAGTAGTTACTACTAAGCTAAGGCAGGTTTGTTAATCATTGAAATGAGGTGATCAAGTCTATAGTTATTAAGCCAAGGTCACTCTTTAAGGGAAATTTAGTTGTTTTGAGATTTGTTTAGGATGGAACTAACCAATCTTCCTGATCAGTAAAGCCTTATGGGTGTATTGCAAAATTAAGACTGTCAATTCTAAAAGCGTATTTAGTCTTACTCTTGTACCTCTCAGATGTGGCGTACAGACTCGATACAACAGAAGAATCTCAATAATGCATGTAATATTTTCTAGTATTTGTTTTAGGTCTGAATTTCCAAGATTGGTTTACACTGGCATTGACTATTTCTTCCTAGGCACTCAGCCAGGAAAAGGTGGAGGAGAAGGAAAAAAATTGGATGAGAGAAGCTTACTTATCTTTTATCATATGCTCCAAATTATAAGCTTTCAATGGTTGTATTTATGTAAAAGATAAAAGTAGTGCAAATTTTTGTAACATGCTTTTTTACAGGGGCAAGTATTTATAGGATAAAAGTAGTTAATATTGATATATACAAATTTAAATGTAAAATACAGTTCAGAACAAGATTTAAAGAAATTTAAACATGGAACAATTCAGTGCCTCCTTCTAATCTTTAGATGTTCTTTATTATTCTATTTAAGTCTGAGATTTTTCTTACTTAAATAGAAAATAATGTATCCCATATCTCTTATTAGAATCTTAACTTCTATACAATTTTTGAATATACATTGGAAGTAAAGTTAGCTTAATTTTAAATTCCCATTCAGAACTTCTAGCATCTGCCCTTATTATCTCTCTTAGTTACAAGATATAAATGTATCCTGTTTTGCTCATGGAGAAGATTCAAAGAATGAATTAACTAGGTTCTCTGTAATCACTACCAAGCATAAAATTATTTTTGTTTCTTACTCATCTGCAGAAACAAAGGGCAGTCAAGGTTCGGATTATGCAACCTGAGTTCATATCACTGTTCACAATTTCAGAGCTAGTCATCTTCCAATCATGAAGCTGCAATTTCATTCCTCTAGCTCGGTATTTCCTGTTACAGGATATTTGTTTTTTGGGCCCTGTCAGAGTTGTGTCTAAATTCAGGTATCATTCAGGCCTTCTCAAGAGCCAGAAAAGGAAGGATATGTTGCTTAGTCAAAAGACAGTACATCCAGAACAGGTTATGTCTTTGTTTATACAATTTGCTTTTTATCTTTATTTATTCTCATTTACATTATTTTCCCTGGTGGTTAGCCAGAGAATAACTTGACCAAGGGCAAGAATTGCTGTTGTTTACAATCTTTAGCTCATACATATAGACAGTTACTTGGATTTGATCATTTGTTAGCTTCAAATTTCAACTGTTTTACTTTGTCTGCTTTTTAATTCAAATTTTCTGCCAAAGAAAGTTATGTGTATTGAGCTATCTGAATTAGAACTGTATTTAGATAATTTACACATCTTTTGGGGCTCTATCCATCTGACTCTCAGGAAAGAAAACAAATCTGTTCATTAAATAGAGGCAACCTCATTCAAATAAACCCATTACCTACTTCATTTTTAAAAAGAATAGCTCAATTCTCTCATTCAGTTTTCCCACTCTCCTTCCATTTTACTTTCTTTTTCCTTCCTCTCATTTCCCATTCCTCTAATATTTGCTCTCTGCCCACTGGAGAGTGATCTGTGTTCATCCACTGTGCTCTTCAGTTTTCCAATGAGCTGTGCTGGCCTCCTGGAGACAGAGAGCAGTTTGGGGAAAAGGCTGGCCAGTTTGGATAATTTATATTCTTATGGTGTAAGAGATGAGAGTAGAAAGAGCAAATGGCATTACAGAACTTTGTTGTTAAAAGTATACCCATCCTCCATTTCATTTCATTTCTTCCACCTCCACACGCATGCTTGAAAAGGGCAATGCTTCTCTCAGCCAAAACTGACTATCGTCTGAAATCATGCCACAAAGCAGAAAAATGCAATTCCCATTAGGCTGTGTTTTGCCTTATTCTGGCTCATACTTTGGTTTTCTTATTTTTTTCTTCATTTACTGCCCCCTTAGTCTTCCATCCGGTTGAGTGTTCCTTCTGCCACAGTGAGAGTATGATGGGATTTCGCTACCGATGCCAACAGTGTCACAATTACCAGCTCTGTCAGGACTGCTTCTGGAGGGGACATGCTGGTGGTTCTCATAGCAACCAGCACCAAATGAAAGAGTACACATCATGGGTAAGGCAAAGTCCAGGCAGTGCTTAAAGTTGGATGTGTGAGTGTTACCCAGAATGCAAGGGAATATCAAGGATGGTGACAGAATTAAGGAACAAACACCCTGTAGTCTAACATTTCTTCCTTCCCCCTTCCTTCCAACCCCCCATTTTACTGAGATCTCTTATATATCATATCTGAACCCAGTGTGGCTTCCTGAGGCTTAAAATATAGAAGACTCAAACTACATCACTTCTTGAAATATAGATAATTCAGTACTGATTTAGATAACTGCACAGCATGCACCTTCTGGAACATAATCTCATTTTCACAGTAAGTGAAGGTTCTTTTCAACTTTTGATGTTTTGGGGTTTTGTTGTTGTTTTGTCGTTTTTTTGTGTGTTTTGTGGGATTTGCTTACAGATGATTGCTAGTTTCTTTTTTCTTAGATTCTGGAGTTCTCTTAAGTACATGCCTGGAAAATAAAGGAAAGGTGTGTGAGCTTGTAGGCTTAATGATGCTGTTTCATTTTACTTTGGGGGGAAGTGGGTGATGTGGTTGCATTAGCAAATCATCTTTTCATGACTAGTGCAAGTGAGCGAGCAACTCACTAAAGGTGACCTGTGAGTGTCCGTCCCTGTGGTGGATATATTCTCAAGAGCGCATGGCACTGGGTCTACAGAAAGAATTTGGCTCCGTGAGCTTGCTGTTCAAATGGTTTAGTTTGCTGACCCCTGCCTCAGTGAGACTCAAAGACCCCGTGATGTTGTTCTTGTGCTCTGTGAAAGTATTGCTCTATGTAAGGACTGGTTTTCATGGGAGATATGTACCATCATCCCTACCAACCCCTCTTGAAGTAGTTCTTTCATAAGAAAATGCAAACTTTTTATGAGTTCTTTCTCTATATTTTAATGTATTTCCATTCAACATATAGTCCTTATTTTAAAAATAACTTGTTTTTTTTAAAAAAGGAAAATCTTCAGAATATGCATTTAACTCACAGTGTTCTAGGAATTATTATCGGGAACTGATGTTCAGTGTAAATATATTAATTGTTTAGCATCTGTCAGATTCTGAGTTTTAGTGACAGTTCTTCACTAAGACATCAAATACTGAGGGACCGTTCTAAGGCCACTCTCACTGTAGGCCATGTCATATGCTGAGGATGGATATACTGCCACAGATGATGAGATACAATTTACTATAGAAGATAGAAGAAAGCACTTACTCTTTTCTTATTATCAACATATTACCAATTTTTAAACTTGTTCTATCCCAAATTCTGGAAGGTTGGTGTTTGAAGACTAATCATTTTTTATTGTTTTTTTATGTGAATGCTAAAATAGGATAAGGAGCCCTTTTCTTAAGGATTGAGGATTCTAAAATTATTTGGCAAGACAACGTTTTTACAAAGTTGAATTAGACTCCTCAAGAAGATAAAGGAGTCCCAATATTTACGGAGTAAAAAGTCTTATTTTGTTACTGTTTTAAGTGTTCTAAGAACTACATGTCCTAGCAAAAACCAAAGTGGAACTTCCTGAACAATGTTCCTACTATTTAGCTTTTTAATAATAAGGACAAAAGTCACGGCATTATATTGACGATTATGGGCTCTATGTGTAAAAGAAAGTGAAAAAAATTATAACTGGTTTCTCGTGGAAAGGAAAAAATTGGATAAATTATTTTTGATAATTTTGGCTGTGAGATATTAGGGTAAATATTCCACCAATATAAATGAAAAAGAGGTGGCATGATACTCTGAAAAGAACATGGATTTTAAATTCTCAAGACTCAAATTGAAGTTTCATTTTTACTTTTAGTTAGATGCCTTTTGCCACACCTGAAACAGCTTACACCTGAATTCCTGCAAAACCTCTTGCTCATCTCCTTCCTTCCTTCTTAAGTGGGAGCAATCTTTCCAAAATCAGGTCTGCTGCTGCCGCCTCTGTGATTTAAACATTTCATTGTCTCCTCCTACACTTGAGATACATTGATGTGACATATAAGGACTTTAATGATCTGCCTCCTTCTCTCCTATTGTTCCTCCATCTGGATTTATCTTCCCAGTTCCCTGAGTTTTTGTCAAAAGGACTCCTGCTGGTCCATTAAGTCCCAGCTCAGGCGTCCCATGCACAGTGAGTGCTCCTACTTATCACAGCATTTGCTGACACTAAGCAGCAGGAAGCACCTACCTTGTTGGCTTGTTTACCACCGAGCAGACTCCCTGGCGTAGAGTAGATACTCAAAGAGGGTTTCTTGAATGAGTGAATGAATGAATGATTATCTACTATGAAAGCAAATCATCCAATAAAGTGTTACATAAATGTTAGTTATCACCACTGTATTTCTTCTTCTTTCCAGAAATCACCTGCTAAAAAGCTAACTAATGCGTTAAGCAAGTCCCTGAGCTGTGCTTCCAGCCGTGAACCTTTGCACCCCATGTTCCCTGACCAGCCTGAGAAGCCACTCAACTTGGCCCACATCGTGTGAGTATGTCTTGCCCTCCCCAGTGAGAGACATCTTTCTTCATTGACACATGTCTGGATCCATACAAAAGCAATTTCATATCCATTGTCAGGGGCCTAGTTTTAAAATTTAATTTTAAAAAATACTGAATGAGCCCTAGCCAGATGTCTCACTTGGTTGGAGCATCATCCTGTACACCAAAAGGTTGGGGTTTGATTCCCAGTCAGGGCATATACCTAGGTTGTGTGTTCAATCTCTGCTGGGATATGTACAGGAGGCAGCTGATCCATGTTTCTCTCTCTCTCTCTCTCTCTCTCTCTCTCTCTCTCTCTCTCTCCCTCTCTCTCTCTCTCCCCCTTCTTTGCCCTCCCTCCCTCTCTCCCCTTCTCTAAAAAAACCTATAAACATCCTCAAGTTAGGATTAAGAGAAAATACTGAATATAATGTCATTATAATTTTGTCGTAGAGGTATACAGTACAAGTGCCCAGCTGTACAAGTAAAGTATGCAACACTAATATAATTCACCTAGAGATGAAACAGCATAGTTATAAAATATGGATGTTAGTGGAGCTGACACAACTGGAAGTTAATAATCAATGGAATTACCATGGGAAGAAAATTTTAAAGCACACTTTACCTTAACGTCATATGTGCTTGGAGTCCTAAATATAAAAGCCCTTTGTTTTATTTATTTATTTATTTATTTTTGGCTGTCAGTTGCCTTGACGATGGCAGCAATCCTTCAAATTGTTGTTGTTTTATCCCATGTTACCTAACTTTAGAAGAATCATAGCCTAAGAGGGGGATTGGTGGGAAAATTCATCAGAACATCCAAATAATGGACTTTTAAAAAATCTTTGTCCAAAGTATGTGTGAGTGTGGTGGACAGAGGGTACTGGGCCACAGCACAGTGCCAGCACCCACCCCATCCTCCTCCCATGCCTGGAGCCTCTCAGGCCTCAGTGGCCAAGACAACAGGGGAGAAGATGTTTTTTTCATTGGTGTTGTCTTGGGCTCAGAAGAAGAAAGGAGCTCATTACCTGTTTCTAAACACAAGTAAATTAGGAACTATGTAGTCATCGGTGCCTCAGAAAGCCTCTAGAACAAGTGGTTCCCTCTCCTTGTGGACTGCCTTTCATTTGCAAGTTCAGCAGGACCTGCAGCACTGCAGAGCCTCTGTTTACATGTTGGCATCAAGAGGTGGGCTGATCAGACCTCCTGATATTAGGAATTCACCAATGCCAGGTTCATGCTTCAGGCAGTTCAGAACATGGCCCATATGCAGCACTGTTGTGGCTCTGAGACCCTTGTGAAAGCAGTAACTCTTTTGTCTAATGGACCTACGCAAGTACCATCAAATGGTTTGTGTTGTGGCATGTCTGTGAACTTCAGACATGGCTTTGTTTGGTTTGGTCCCAAGTGGCTTTGAGGGTTCACTGTCCTCAGCCATATGCAGTCAGGAGGCTCCAGTGCTGACATGGGCTAAGCATCCAAAAACCAATGTAAACCGACTCCGTAGAATGTGGTAACTTCTTTTTGGAAATTTTGCTACTAAAAATAAGCCTTAAAATAAACCAGGTGTAAATAAACGTGGAGAGTGTTCCAAAGCGCCAACCACTATCAGGAAATGACCTCGTGCGAGCTGTTCCTGTTAAGGTCTCAACTTTCCTTCCATAGCCAGAGATGACCACTACATTGTTAATGAACAAACAAAATGAAGTGAGGGCAAGTCTGTGCTCTGCCACAGAGTCACTTTCTACCAGACCTGCCAGGACCTTCACCCTCAAAGTGCAGTGTTCCACCTGAGCGGCTGGGTGTGAGGAAGAGAGAGTTTGGGATGTGAATGGCCTGGCTCTAAGAGCTTCGCAGTCAAACAGAATTCAGATGCTGCCTCCCACTTCAAGAAAGAATTAGGAGATGAGGCAGTTTAGAATAAAAGTCAGTTTCAGTTAGTCACACTGCAGTCTCACCTAGCACAGGGACTTGTACCAGTTGGCTCAGGATTGGTGTGTGTGTGTGTGTGTGTGTGTGTGTGTTATTTAATAAGCTGAGTAAAAATTTTTTTAACTTTAATTCATAGTGGCAATATGATCTAATCTGTTAGTCACTGAATTAAATGAGGGCATTATCTACACAATTTGGTTTCCATGGAAAGTTTCAGGATTCCCTTAAGGTTCTGCACAAAGTATACCCTTTTTTCCAAGAAAATTTTTATACATTGAATCAGATTCTCAAAAGAGTCCTTGAATCAAAATACTGATCTATCCTCGCTGTTAATATATTTTTCCAGGGTGACTGTCTTAATTTGCAAATTGTGAAAAATATTTAATTGTTGAAATAACATGTAAGAAATTTTGGATATAGACTAATACAGTCTATATTAGACCAGAGTATTTTTTTTTCTATTTTTGACTTTAGACATTTTTCGCCTTACTTGTTATTCAAATGATAGTGCCCTGAATAGACATTCATGTCTTCTTTTTATTATTATTTTGGGGGGCGATAGAGATACCTAAGACTTCTAAATTTAGAAGGTGGGTTTCATTTAGCTAGTCTAAATTTTCATAACTACATAATGGCCACTGAAGTGGGTGATATTTTGATACTTTGATATTTGTGCTTAGCTGTTGTATTGTTTGTAAATGTTACCATGATTAACCATCTCTATTCTATTCAATTCTTTGCTGCCCAAAGTGATACTTGGTAAGTAGTTTAATCGTCCCCAGGGTACTTATAAAGATTTATAATCATAATTATAAGTGGTTATGAGACACAAAACAAGCGAGTGACCAGAGGCTAGTTTAAAACAAATTCTGCCTTGAGCTGAACACTTCTGGTTCCCTACCAGAATGCCAGCTTTATAAAAATGTCCTCTGTGGGGATTGTTGTCCAGGAGGAAAATCTTGCGCTAGACCCCTGTGGCTTTATCTTGTGGAGCTATTTCTTTTTGTAAGAGTCAATATATTTAAAATTCCCAGTGAGACCTATTTTTTAGATAAGGTAACTTGCCATTTGACTGTGGAGGAAATAGGAACTTTAGTCCCTTTGAAGGCCACCATTTGGTCCCAAGGTTAGCCATTCTGTGTCCCAAGTTCAACATTTTTGTGATGAACCTTAAACATGAAGCCATTTAGCAATGAACTACAATTTTTAGCTTTGCAATGACTATGTTTAATAAAGTAAGTTGACCAGGCTAGTTAAAAAGCATTCCAAATCTACTTGTTTTCTCATTGCCTAGAGATAGAACAAGATGGGAAAGTTTAAAAAAGAAAGACAAAAGAAAACCAGAAATGTTGGTGTCGTTGATTCTTTTTTTTTTTCAACTTTGGCAAAGCTACAATGTAAGATATTTCATTCTGTTTACAGTTTAAAAATCTGACTTTTGAAAATTTACAGAGGATATTTGTATAAAATTAGCATCCTCTTATGATGGAAAGTGTTCTGTTCAAGGCAGAATTCATTTTAAACTAGCCTCAGGTATCAAAGGTACATCCTGGATAAGCAATGCAAAACACTAAGATTGTTTTCAGAACTTTGGCTAATACATTTAGAGTAGATCAAATAGCAAATCTGCTGTTTTGACCTCATCCAACAATGTGTCTTAAAATCTCAGAATGCAGTTTAGCACCAGGCACTGGGAACCGAAGTTTCAATGAATTTTTGTCTATAGTGCTGACATTTTTAAACCTGCATAGCATCATATTCATTCCCATTAAATAAACTGAAATAAACAAGCCTACAGTTTTCCTAGATTCTCTTTATTGTAGAATACAAACTAACTCTAATTTCCTGATATAAAAATTAAACCATTACAAATTGGGCTCTTGATTAAGCCAATACAAGTAGACTCTATAGGCTATAATTAATATTTCATCTTCAAATAACCCTATACTGTCAAACTCACATATAGAATTATAGTGAAATCAAAATTTCTTCTGACTCAAAATGAATGGCCAATCCCATCTCATTTTACCATGGATTATCTTACAATGAACTTCAAATCAGACTAAAAACTCTCATTAGTTATGAGGAAAGAATGACAGGATGAAATGAAATATAAAACCGGGGATGACAGACCTGAGGTAGCTGGTGTTTAGGGTCATGGACAATTTTTAGAACTGTTAAACCTGTTTTTTTCTCTCTCTCTCTCTCATCATATGAAAAACAGTGAAGTTTATGGCATGCCTTGCATCATGTGCCCTATTATATGGATCAACCAGATAACAGAAAGTCAGTAAATACTTGTGGTGTTTAATTGCATCTTCACTTACAACAAAGAGCAAATAAAGGATGTGATGATTTTGTAGCTGGGTCCTTCCAGACTTGGCATGTTGAGAGAGGGCCGTTTTCATGGGAAGCACAGAAGGAAAATTCCAAAACTTCAGAAATCTTCCTCCTTGCAAGAACATGTAGATTCTGATCATTATCAAGTTTTCAAGGTTTCTCCCTTTAAATGCAACAAACATAAGGCTGCCTCAAAACACTTGCTTCATTCGAGAATACGACTCCATGAAACACCGGGGCTCAAAGCTCATGGATAAACATTCCTTTGGTGTCCAGAGATCATCCACACAACATTTACTTGCGATTCTATATTCACAAAGAAATGTAACTTTTAAAACACCTAACGATTTTAATTGGAAAATGTAAAATTCTGTGTTGATCTTGGTTAAGGTAGAACGCTGGTCTTCCCACTCCCTTTCCTCGAGGGATGGTGGATAGTTGTTAACCTGTGACTTTTACTTGTTTTAACTTTCCGTCTACACTGTACTTTGTTTTAGGCCACCCAGACCTGTAACCAGCATGAATGATACCCTGTTCTCCCACTCTGTCCCCTCCTCAGGAAGTCCTTTTATTACCAGGAGGTAAGTTCCAACCCTAGTACATAATAAGCCCTCTCTTTGGTAATGAGCCTTGATTCTGTGGCAAGAAAATTATTCTAATGTAAGCCAAGAGCAGAAGACTATTGTTAGAAACCAGTTATGTAAATATGTGTCACACAGTTTTAAGTTTCATTCATTTGAATGCATTTAAGGAGGAATGGGATGGCTTTGGGGATTCAAGTCCCTTCAGGAAACGTGTATTTCTAGCGCACCCACAGGAAGAATGTGGAATAAGATTAAATTTTACGACTGACATATATGCATTCTTTTCCATTGAGAAAGTCACTTTTCTAGCACTCAGAAAGGTCCATTTCAGCCAGGAAATTGGAATTTCAAGATGCAGTGGGGAATTATTAGATACATATAGAAACATCTCCTAATTTGAAGCTCCAGCTATAAAAGAATCCTCTGCTTGGTGAACTCTGGAGTTCCTAAGGCTAGAGGCTGAGGACCAAGCTTGGAAAGGTAGCTTCCACACAAACGGTTTCATGGATAATAACAAGGACTTAAACAAAAGGTGGATATGCATCATGTTTTTTGCAAGATCCACTCCCATTATGAGCAAAGAATAGGAGAACCCAGTACTTTTTTTTTTTTTTTTTTTTTTTATTGATTTTAGAGAGAGGGGAAGGGAAAGGGGGAGAGAGAGATAAAACATCGATGAGAGAGAGAACATCAATTGGCTGCTTCCTGCATGCCCCCCACTGGGGATTTGGCCCACAATCTGGCATGTGCCCTGACCAGGAATTGAACTGGCAACCTCTTGGTGCATGGGTCGATGCTCAACCACTGAGCCACACCAGCTGGGCCCCAGTACTTCTTTTAGAGCTAGCATTACAAATATGCAGGGCTCAAGAGGTGCTCTAACTCATTTGATCAAATATCACAAATAAAGCACCAGAGAATTATTTTATAAATACATGGAGAAGGCTCACAGGAAAGCAGAAACAAAGGTAAGGATAACTGGAGCAATTGAGCATAAAGATTTTCAAATGCCTTTCAGTAGGAAAAAAAAAATATATATATATATACAGTCTCATGTTTTACAAAATGAATGTAATCAGTCTTTCCCCTGAAAAGGTTTCTGAGATACCAGTTTCACTGTAATATCCTGGAGCATTCTAGTGAGGATTTGAAGACAGTGAGACTCAGAACACTGCTATTTTGGGGGCTTTTTTCCTCATTCCTGTATTTGCCCATCATCAGGAACCTGAGATAAAGATGTTCCCCGTAATTTTAATTAGTAGGAGAAATGGAATGTGGCAGTTCATGGTGTTTCCTTCCTGTAAATTAAGCAAGTCTGTAACAACTGGAAATGAGAACATAATTGAATTACAGAACCTCCACAGTGAAATCATATGGTTTAGGCCCTCAGTGTGTTCCTCTTGACACTCCTTTTCAGAACCACCAGCAAATTCAACCATCTTTTCTAAAACAAACTCATAAACTGTAATATCTATGAGAGACACGGGCCTGTGCATCTTTCTAGAGAAGATCCTGCATGATGCTAAGAAAGATGTTGTGCATTTATTAGGAAGCTCTGCATTCTGCAAATGTCAAGCAGAAATAGACTCCATCCTTACTGAAGGTCATTTTATATCATTTCAGCTCGGACGGTGCTTATGGTGGATGCGTCTAGATGGATAACATGGCTTCTTCTACTCTAAAATATTCCTATAGTACTTTGAGCTGTTCTGGTTCCTCCAGGGTTCATGGTACCTATTAACCCAAAATATGATCATTTCCCTTTCTCCCATTTGCAGTCTTTTTGGAATGTTCCCTGTGAACCACAGACACATTGTTTAAAGTTTGCAGTTCTTCCTGTCACCATGGAGAGTGGCCTCTGGTGTCTGTTTTAAGGGTGCTGTTCAATAAAGCTGTGTACACTGAACTTCTTTCCTCTCTGAGTGGGCCTTGCTCTGTGATGGGAGGTTTTAATGAGGTCTCATTGTTTGACTCCCTCAGGTTACCTGAGGGAATAAGTGCATCCAGCCCTGTGGCTGAGGAACATTCGCTTATAAAGCTGTATGTAAATCAGCTTGACCACTGTGCACGGTCAGTATCCCAGTCCTGAATCACTAATCTAATCGTAGTGGTAGTTCCATAGCTAGACTGCTAGTCATTCTGCTCCATCACTAAAATCCTCTTGTCTTATATCTTAGTGGAGATAGAGGTCTTCTGGGGTTTTAAGAGATTCCATTGAGAATTTCCAACTTGAGCTGGACTTAGCTCTTTCGCCTCTTTTCCACTTGCTGTATTGATCTCACGGCCTCGTACCAGTATAAATGACATGCGTATCTACGAAGAGGACCAAGCTGGATTTTCTTCTTTGGATGACTCTCTGCTTTTGCACGAGACCCCAGATGGTGATTTCTTAGACTCTTGGGTGAAAGAGCCTCTTGGAACGATCGTTAGCACTAACTGGTAAGGCCAGGACAACATTGCATGGCTGGACCATATTGCAGTAAAAGACTTGGGGGTTTATACCTTTCTGTCCCACTGGGCTTGGGCCATTTTTTCCCCAAGATAGAGAAGTCTGATTATTATTGAAGTAGCCATTTCAAAGCCAATTTCATACTATTAGTGCTTAATTTCTATCACTTGATAATGCTGGTGATGATCCACTGTTTATTTCTTAACTATGTCCATATACTAAAATTGATGGAAACCCATACATCAAATGTAGGTATAAGTTAAAGGTCCTATTCTTCTTATGATTGGAGCTGAACCAAATAAATATAACCTAGAGCCCTGCCCTCACTCCTACTCCACCCCGACTTCCCCTTTTAAAATAAAATAAACCCAAGCAAACCAAGAATGTGCTGATCTGTGTTAAGAACGCAGGGAAGTTTGCCATGCAGATATTTTATTTAGCCTGAGTTTTTAGTTCTTCTGTGCCAGATCTTAGAAGATAAAGCAAAATGAGGATGAATTAAAATCACCACTTCAGAATTCTCACCATAAACCCCTGGCATTGCTCAACCTAGAGTCCTTTACAAGCATACCACTTTGATCTTCAAAGGGCACAAGGTTGTGTCTTTGAAGTCTTTTGACATCCTAGTGATCTGACTCACACAGATTTACGAGTGTATAACTGGTTACCACCACCATCTGCTGCATCCTCTTTTCTAATATCCAATTCCAGTTATATACTTGATTCACTTTTTTATTACTTAAAAGAAAAGAGAGAATTCTCAAAGGCACTCTCTCTTAACCTTTTGAAGTCTGTGTGTGTGTGTGTGTGTGTGTGTGTGTGTGTGTGTGTGTGTTCAATGCTGGTTAGCAATTAGGTGGAATGTGGGTCAAATAACATAATTCATGGACTAATTTACCTCATTCATTTTCATGATCATAACTTTATTCCTAAACTTAGATTACTTTTTTATAAATGCATTAATGTATAGGGAAAAAATGGCTGGATCAATGGAAATCTATTATCACCACTAGAAAAAGAGCTCTAAGGGCTATGTATGGTGGGGCAGCAACATAATCTAAGCTTATGAAATATGTCCCATCACTGTTACAAATATTATCACAAGCACTGGCACAAAATCAGGCCCAAAAGGCCCTTTCTCCACTTTACTGTCCACAGCATTATGCCTCTAGTACCTGCCATCTTTGTTGGTATCATGCCCCCATTGTAAATTCTTAATTATCTTGTCAAAATCCTTGCCTAGGTAATGTGAGAACGTTAACCAGTCTTTTTCTGAAAATATATTTCTTTAATTATGTCTGTCTTCTTCATTAGCCACATTAGGACACTCTGAAAGTTTAAATAGCTTGATTCTTTAACCCACAATATTAGAAATATCTTGTAAAGTTTTTACAGATATCTCTATAGATGTAACCTCTATCATAGAAACCACTCAGAAAAGGAATCATGTTGGCTATGCTATATAGCATCTGGCCAGATAGATCTTATCACTCTTCCAAATATTAGAAAATTGCTTGAGTCATAGAGTGTCTTGAACACAATGTAATATGTTGTCTTCTGGTTTGTCACAATAACATTTGGTTAATTACTTAATATTGTGTTCGGCTCAGTAATGCATATGTGGAAGGCACAACACCTACCCAAAGTGCTTTCCAAATCCTGATTCTTCCCTGTGGAGCAGACTTGGTGACTAGTTGGTCAGTTGGTTGATTGGTTTGGTTTTCAACCAAAAACATTTTTAGTTTTTTTCACTCTTTACCTAACAACTCATATTATTAATCTGACTTAAAATGTTCCAACTAAATTTTAAAATGCTTTGGTAATCAAAAATGAATAAAAATAAAATTGTGGTGCTAAATGCAGCCTTTGGTCTGAAAATCAAAGTTTTCTTCATGGTTAATTTTTTCTAAGGTTAAAGCCCATCCTTTTCAGTAAGAAAAATAGATAAATTTATAAACCAACATCATATAACAGATGGATTTATAAATCAATTACCCTGAGGATTTCTTTACTCTTTTCACCCTTTTTGGGCATGTTGTCTGAAATTTTATGAAATTTGAAATAATCACTTTCTGCCAATATTTCTTTATTCTGTGTAGCCATGAAGCTCCATTAACATGCTATATTTTTTCAAACTTGAACTAAGCCAGTCTTCACACTCAACTCTATATTCTATACTAAAATGTTAGTGCATAAAGCTGCCATCACCTCTCTTTTTTATCTCAACAACTTTATTCTTTTATTAGAGTTGCTTTAGTTGTTGTCTGTACATGTCCTGTATTCAGCAAACTTTTCTAGAGACTCTCTTGGTAAAAATACAATTGATATGGTTTGATGATATCTGGGGGCAAACATAGTAAATGTAGTGAATCCAACATAAGCTAAAGATTTTTAGTATTTCTTCCATGGTACCTGCTGAAGATGGTTTGACTTTCATGCCAGCTAGAGTTGGTGACAATTAATTACCCCATTGACACTAAACTATTTTTATGCTTGTTTGCTGGTTTTCGTGTGGCAGATAGTTTATGTTTCAGATCAAAGATATTGAAAGCTGGAATAGGAAAGGGAAACACAATTTTTCAAGAAAGTATCTCCCGACAAAACTGACATGTGATCTCTTTTCTATATACCTAGACTATGTTAATTACAGTGAGAAGCAAAAATTTTTTCACACTGATAGTTAATTATGGAGGGGGCCAACTTTACAAGCCATTCTTCACAAGTCCAAACACCACACAAGTTTATCAGTTATTTAAAATTAATAAAAATGAAAATATTTCTTAATTTGCCATGGTTCAGTGCATTTTTCTGTTAACCATTGTGATAATGATTATTGCACATAACAATTTATTTCTATAATAGTGTTGCTCTGTGAGACTGCATCTAGGACTTTTATTTAAATCCTTTTATTTTTATACTCAATAAAAGAAAAAGAATCTTTGACTGGGACTAAAATAGTAATTCAACATAAGCAGAGTTGGTTTTTAAAACTATATTTCAGGTTTAAACAAAACCTGGAACTTTTGTGTGTAGTTTTGTTATCTAGAACACCCCAAAAATGTTTGCACTTAAACAAAACTACTGGCATCAGTTGTCACCCTTCTAAACTAAATGGTGAATTTAAATAAATAAATATGAAATATTTTTAAGTTGCTCTGTCCTTCCAGAACCATTGTATCTGTGTGTGTGTGTGTGTGTGTGTGTGTATGCGCACACATGTATGTGAAAAATTTGGGGAAAAGAACATTTATCTTTATATATACTATTTTCCAATGGTCTAAAAAGGAATTGGTGAGTCCCTCCTTGGGACTCAGATTAGAAAAGATTTATCACCCATGGTCAAGGGGAACCTCAAGTGGTTCCCACTGTCAGGGCTTAGAAGGAAGAATGCATTTTGATTTGAAGAAAGGACATACAGAAGACTCAGAAGTTTTTAGAGCTAGGTCGATGTGAAAGCCATCACTGCATTCTGATGCACTGACATGCCAGAAGCACTCATTTCTTGGTAAGAGCATAGGTTCCAGAGTGCCTGATCCCAAAGCCCACGATGAACTGGACATATCACCTAACTTCTCCAAGCAAACTGCCAAGCTACAGAATTAAAGTTTAAAAATCTAAATTATTCTATAAAATATCATGAGCATACATTGCTTTGAAAAGATAATAAACTACATATGGTCACTATTTTCGCAACTCAGGAGAGAAATTTTTCACTTTGCCCCCTTTCTTCAAGCCCCTTAGATTAGGAACTGCAAAAGAAATTCTGGTGAAGATTCTTCATGTGAAAAGTCTTTATAGACCTAAGTTTTAAGTGAGACCTGCTTCCCCGTCAACTCTCTAAATTCCTGATCCATTTCACTTTAAAGAGTAGTTGGGATTTTTTTTGTTTTTGTTGTGCACTTGAATTCGTCTATGCATGATCATGTTATGGCTTTCCAGAAATAAGTCATAAGGAACAGAATTTAAGGCTAGTTTTTGGAAGTACAGAAACTGTGTGGACAATGAGTACCAAAACTCAGGAGTGCTCCTGGCACTAGAAATTAAAAGCTGTAACAAAACAAAATAAATGTTTTTTTCCCACCAACTCATAAATGTAGATAATGTCATCCCCATACTATCCAAGAACTAATTCACATGGAAAGGGAAAGGACCACCAAAGGACTTAAACCAGCACTGACAAGGGCCAATGCAAAGAAGAGGACAATGAAAGGAAAAGAGATAGGTATACGGAGAACACCTGCTCTTCCCTTGGAGAGAGGAAAGGACTTGGAAAGAAGAAGAAAAAGAAGAGAAGAGGGGAAACAGATAAATGGAGTAGAGGAAGGAGAGAGGGGCCCAAAGAGTTAAAAAGAAAGAAAGAATAAAACCACCAAAGGGAAATCTGGGCAACTGCTCCCTTCCTGCCCCTGGCCACTGAGGTCAGCAAGACTCCTCCAGAGACTGTGTTAGTGGTCAAGGATGGGAGAGCACATTCACTAGAGTCATTTGTAGCAAACATCCGCTAATAGATCCTCCTGTATTTCTTTTCTCTACTGGTCCTTTCTTTCTTCTTGTGCATTTAATATGAGAAGTTGTATCCGTGTAATTATAATTAAGCTTTTGATTTAGGAAATATCACCACAATTTCTGGGAGTCAAGGGTTCAGAACAAGCATAACAAGATGGAAATAGTTTAATTTGGAGGGAAGAATCATTGATTTATCACACAGCGTTTTGCGTGGTTTTACAAGAATCTGAAGTCAATTATATAGTAGGGACATCAACCTTGAACTGCAAAAAAAAAAAAAAAAGTTGGACGAGGTAGTTGGGCAGCAGAGAGACTGTAGATGTTGGATAACGAACATAGTGGGATAATGCTTCAGGAGACAAGGTTTGGAGTGCTATTTTGGAGGGATGATAGGAAAACACCAAATATGATGGCTCAAAGTGGCTATTTGGCCCTGATGGGCAGGTTTCATAGTCTTAGAAGGTGGAGATAGTCTGAAAAAATTTTCTTTAAAGTCAGGTTTGTGTGCAATTGTACTTTTTAAGTATAGTGATACTTCGTGTAATAGGGGATTCTTGAAAAGCTGAGTGAAATCATACATTCAAAAAACATGAATGCCTCTCTCTGCCAGTTTCTTTACAAATCAAATTTTATTTTAAATTTACCAGAAACTTCACTAGTTAAAGAATCTTATAATATATACTATTATAAAACAATAATTCTGATTATAATGTGCATAATTCTAATATGATATTCCTTTATAAGTTTTTGTGTATTGCATGGTCTGAAAGAGTAATACATTGTAGTAAAAAATTTAAAATTTGTCATTAAAGTTTTAACTATTTTATAAGCCATGCATATATATATATAACCTAGAACTTGAAAAGGGGAAAATTTGTGAAACTTCATAATTTCAATCCCAGTAATTAAAAGTTTGGTAGTCCACCAAGGTCAGACAGCTAATTTTGTATTCTCCATGAAGAGGGGATGGGGTGGTTTTAGGTACACCAATGTTGTGGGACAAACTCTTAACCTGCAAAGGAGAAACCTCTCTTTAAGTACAATACAAGTACATTTATAATACCAAAAATCAATACTGTGTTTCCCAATGAAGCATGTAATGAAGTACGTATTCATTACAGTAGATCTTGGGTGACTTCGGCTTGGCCACACTTTATTAATTATTATTTACATTTCTAGTTGTCCTTCAATAAAACATTTAAAATTTTTAAGCTGTCATTTAAATTACTAAATAAAATGAGTGTTCTTCATAATAAATCTAAAAGTGATATGAATTTGCTCTGTTGATGTGATTTATGCTCCAGTTATAGGTACAAGTAATATGAATATATATTTATAAGACTCAAATGTTTATTTCTCAGTGTCTCTGCAAGTTTTCTTTGCAGCCTCAGAGCTAAGGTTAGGTGACTTGTGCTTAAAGTGGTAGAGCACTTCTAATAAGACAGCAGTCTCTAGGAAATTTTCAAGTGTCTAGTCAACACAGAAAGTTGGAGAATATAGGGAAGGCTGGAGAAATAAACTTCTTGACTGAGATATAAAGGCTGGCAGGATTTAGTGAGCCATTGGATCGTCCGTAATGAATGCTGAATTAATTTTCATTCTGCCTGGACATAATTCAATCTATTTGTTAAGCAAGTAGCAGAGGTCACATCTGAAATCATGGTGGCTTGTGTAATAGCAATTGTGGTTCTCAGGCCAAGTTTCTACTCCTAGTTCAACTCTGTGGAAATCTGAAAGCATCTTGAACATTTCACAACAATAAGAGCTGTCCAAATGGAGCTTGGATCTAGACTTGGGCGTTTCTGTTGCCAGTTCTATTCTTGAATGCATTGCTGTGTTTACGCTCTTCTTGGCTTTCCCATCTTATTAACTAGCTCTCCTCCCAAGGACAGTGAAGTAGAGCAGAACAAACTGCTGGCTAGGGCTGCTCCAGCTTTTCTGAAGGGCAAAGGGTAAGTTAAAGCCAGAGTGTACTGGAACCCTGAATTAACTGAACTAAAAATGGAGATTTCTTTTGTCAACATGCTTTGTGTTTGAAAGACCATCTTTGATTTAGTAAAAGCAGCTCCATTATAACTCCATTAACAGCACCAAGTAGGTATTTTGAGTAGAAACATCAGTGTTATACACTTTCCCTGGTTTCCTTTTCTGTTTTCCTTTTTTCTTTTTATTTTAAGTGACTAAAGCTTCAGGTTTGATTTTCCAAAGGCTACTTAATCTTTGCTTGCAATGTGTTTATTGTACAGTTGAATTTCTTGGCCTCAGTTGTTTGAAGAATGCAAATCTGTTTTCTTATAAGTTGCTTTACCAAAATGGAAGTCTGTATTTTTAAAGTTAGTGAAATGCAATTGTGAATTTCATTGCTTGGAATTTGCTTGTGTTTTTCATAGAACAGCACTTATTTTTTTCTTGTTTGGTTTTTCAAATGCCTTTTTTAAAAAAACCACAAATGCACTCCTACCTGCTCTGCATATTTCTGTCCGCCTCTCCTAACAATACCCTTTCTTTCCGCCTGCCCTGTTTCAGGATACAGTACAGCCTGAATGTGGCAGACAGGCTAGCTGATGAACATGTTCTCATCGGGTTATATGTCAACATGCTCCGGAACAACCCATCATGGTTAGTGCAGGTTTGGCTGCTTGACTGTCTTTAGAGAGGGGCACAGTCTCATCTCTTGACAAGCAGTCTCAGCAAGGGGCAGAGTCACTGGATGCCAGAGGTGTTAGTAAGGCACTTTTTAACTGATTCAATTAAAATGTATTTTGTAATATTATTAGATATTTCCAATTAATGTACTTTAGAACTCATATCCTTGTTTATATCTTAGCTAAAGGGTTAACTTGCATAAATGGGTGCCATGCGAAGTATTAGCATTCAGGTAGATACAGGATTGTGGGTCCCATAAATTATTGCACAATGGTGGTGCAAGAATTTGTCTTATTCCAAGGACATGTATGTCTGCTGATTTGGAGAACAATGTTCTACTCACTTAAGATAGAAGTGAAAAAGAGGAAAAGTTATGGGATGGGATCATACCCTTGAAATCATTCCATTAACAATGATTGTCTTTCAACTTTTCTCTTACTTACAAATGTTTCTGGATAGCCATTCTGATAAAGCCTGCTTTCAAGTCTCAGAATACACAAAGCTTACTTTCAGATGTGTAAAATATGTGGATTCAGAGAGCTCCATGTATTGGGATAAAGGCATTCATAAAGTTCTCTTTCTATTTTAATTGCAACATAGGAGATTCCTCCCATTGATTAGTTACTTTGTTTTAAGAATAACTGTATGTTTGCACTTTGAAAGTAAATGGGCAGACTATATAAACATATAATTCAGACTATTGTAGAGCACTATTTTGTGAACATGTTTAGCAAACCAATACCTTAACTATATTTCTATTTTGCTTTATTACTCTAATTTTCTCTGAACTAAGGGCCTATGGATTTTTTGCAGTTATAACTATTAAGTGAGCCAATGGATTAAACTGCCTTTAAAATAGCTGCCCCTCCCCATCTCTACTATGTCATAGGCAGCGTACCTCAAATACTTGGTGCTCATCTCCCTGACCACTCAGCATTATTAGCTACTTCTTTGTTTCTAAAACGTTCCTCCCTTGACTATTTACAAAGTTCTTTCCTATTCCCGCTTCAGATACCTTAGAATTATTGTTTACATGATTAGTTCATGAAATGTTTTTAGGTGACTCATTAATGAACATTTATTTATTTAATGGTTACATATTTATCTTAATTCGTATTTTTTTAAATATAGCCAGCATATTAGTTTAATTTTACTCTTTTAGGAAATAAAAATGGACTCTCCTGCTAAGCCCATCTCTTTGTTCAAATTTTTCCAAGCTCGTAGATCAAACAGTACCTCTTCTTTCTCATGTCTCTGCCTCTCAAAACTACAAGAGGAAAGAGTGATTGCTTTAATCTTATTCCCAATGAGTTTGGTTCCGCAATGCTATATGGTGGCTGAAACAATAAAACTAAAAATACTGAATTACAAAAAAAAATTGTATGAGTAATGTTTAAAGAAGAATGCAGTCGATACAGATTTAATCATGTCTGAAGGCAATGATGTGATCTCAGACCGTGTCCTCTCCCCCATAATTCTAAGCATACTCTGGTTATTTCTAGCACTTTTCTTTGACCTTTTCTTAATTAAAGTTGTAACAAGGAAATCTCCAAAGAGGAAAGCTCAGAGTGTGTTACTGCCAGCCATCTTCCCTACTCAAGTGATTAATCACATTGACTTGATGGTCACTTAAGACCGTAAAACTGTCTCAGCAGAGACACCCTACATCCACTTGGTGAAAGCTAGGTGTGATTTGTATTTGGAAAACAAAGCAGAATTTAAGACTGATCAATGAAGCAGACTCCGTTTTAATAGCTGCTGCCCTCCCCACCCCACCCCACCCTATATTTCTCATGGCTTTCTTTCTGTCCTTAAATAATTTCAATTTACCTTACAAATTTTTCATTTTTGCTTCTCTTTCTTTTCTGTTTAATTAGATCCTAACACATCCTCACACTGGGCACAATTATAAAGTAATGTAGTGATCGCTCACCTCCTTTGTCATCATTATAGCTATAATCTTTACCGTCCTTCAATTATGGTGAGACATATAATGGTAATAATCAGAAGAGCTACCGTTTTTCAAAACACTTCCCTCATACTAAGTACTGTGTTAAAAGCTTTATTTGTGTAATATTATATAAATTACATAATAATACACAAATTACATAATACTACAGAAATTGTTTACATAATTTATAATTACATAAATTAATTACATAATTATTTGCATTATTTACCTTGGCCTTAAAGCAATCTATAGAGTAAATACTATCATCCCCCTTTTATAGATAAATAAAGGTATCAGCTGTGAGAGTTTCATGACTCTCCCACAGTCACATGACTACTAAACAGTGGTGCAGGAATTTTGATCATTGACCACTTGATTCTAAGCTCATAACCACTAAGCTACATTGCCTCCTATAAAACCTACATAAATGTACACCCTCCAGGAAGTTTCTCTGGACATTCCTCCACACTGCATCCAGCACATATCTATTTCCTAAAATGGTATATGCCACTGTATTACTTTATTATATTTTAACAAATATTTTGAGCACATTTCAATAATAGGAATGGTAGTCGTTAATTAAGTTACAGTTTATGTCTTTAGTTCTATGCATTGTGACTTCTCATTTTAATTGTAAGCTTCAAATGGGCGAGGGTTTTGTCTTCAGTCTCTTGTATCTCATCACGGCAGCCTGAATATGAATATGTTTTGCATTTATGAAGTGCTTCAAAAGTTACAGAGTCCTTACCAACATTATTTTGCTTGCTTGTCAAAGCACTCTAAGTGTAGATATTATTTCCACTTCACTGATAAGAAAATGTAAGTTCTGAGATATTGAGTGATTTACTCAAGGTCACAAGGGCTTGTACACATACATGTCTTCTGATACTGGGTCTCATCTATTTTCCACATCATTCCTCAGCCTCCCTGCCTGTGCATCTTTCATGAGATGGTCTACAAATAGGAACCTAATAGCTGTTCTTGGTTAAAACATTTGTTTTTGTAATTATTCAAATGTGCTCCTGATTAACTGTGTGGGGTCCTATTTCCCTATATTAACTACTTACCACAATGAGAAACTGACTCATTTATAAATAGTCTGGTGCCAAATTAAAGAAGCACTTATGTGTCATGGTTGGTTCTGATGTCAGAGAAACCAAATAAATAAACTATAGCTCAAGAGAGGATTCTGCTGTCTTCCTAATTCAGTGACATTTTAAAACCCTTAATGTTTTTCCCTGACCAGTTTGGCTCAGAGGTAGAGCGTTGGCCTGTGGACCAAAGAGTCTTGGGTTCGATTCCAGCCAAGGGCTCGTACCTCAATTGTGGTTCATCCTCGGCCCTGGCCAGGGTCGTGCAGGAGGCCACCAGTCGATGTGTCCCTTTTACATCGATGATGTTTCTCTCTCTCTCTCCCTTTCTCTCTCTCTCTCCCTCCCACTCTATCTGAAGATAAATGAAGAAATAATCCTCAGGTGAGAATTTAAATAAATAAATAAAAATAAAAGCCTTAATGTTTCCAAGTACCTTCTCCACTGGGGGAGGAGGAGTCTCAAAATGCAATCCAGCAAGGGCTTTTTCTGTCCTTCTCTAAAGCTTATTAAGTGTCTGGGCTTGCTAGTGGCTTATAAGAATTGACTGTGGCAGACAGACCAAACAATTGGAAACCAGTCCAGAACTTCCTCCTCCTACCGTAATTGCATCCTTAATGCTTACCATTCAAAAGCTTCTGGCACATTTCTCTCTGAAAAGATCCCCTGTGTATGGGAGGAGGGGTACAATTAAAGGCTACAATCTGCACCGTGATGCCGTGATCAATTGCTGTCACTTAGCTAGACCCCTGATCTCACATAGCCAGATTAAAATGTGTTCTGCTTATGTTTTTCCTCAAGTACAAGAAATTGTACACTTTATGTCTATTTCTAGGATTCATATGTAAGCTGTAAATTTTTATTGGCTTGCCTTGAAACCCTGTAATAGATTCCTCTTGCTCTTAGTTTACAGCCCAGGCCCCTTAGCATGGCTTGTGTGTGACCTAGCCCTTGTCTACCCACCTCTCAGCCTCAGCTGTCATGGGGTTGTTCCACTCAGTCACAGTACTTAGTCGTATTAGCTTTTAAGCAATTCCTAAAAGCAATTTCTAACACTGCCTCAAGATCATTACACTAGTTCTTGCCTATGTCTAGAACATTCTTCCCCATTTTATCCTGGACCTCTCCTTCCACAAACATGCACTGGCGCCTACTCTGGCTTCTAATTAGATTAAAGGCACCCCCTCAGGTGGGTCTCCTATATTGGTCTTTATTATGGCATATTATTTATTTCATTCTTATCATAGCTGCAACCATTGTTTGAATGGTTGGATGGGTGGTTGGTTGACTTACTATCTATGTTCCCTTCTATGGTGCAGGGACCTCCTCTGACTTGCTCCCCACCATATCTCTGACATTTTGCACAGTGCCTGGCACACACTAGGTATCCCATAAACATCTGTTGATGTTGTGGAATATTGATAGTGCTGTAGGTATAAAATTCCCATTCACATTAAGCAAAATTGTTAGGAATCCTCCGAAATTCTGTTTTACTAGTAAAAGAAATATTTTTACTATTTAAAATATCACCAATTATGAGTTAGCCCTCAAATCAAACATTTAGTGTAAGAGTACAGAGTAGCTGAAAAAGTGAAGTACTAAGCTTGATGTAGAGAGAGGTGGTGAACATGGATAAAGACAAGCACCCGCAATTCACTGATGGGAGAACAGCGAGTGATGGGGGCAAATATTTTAAAAAGTAAAAGTGATATTGGGCAAAAATTAAAAACTGGTTTTCATGCTTTCTGGTCTTTTTCATTTTATATTAGTTTGGTAGGACTGCTATCACAAAATACCGCCAATTGGGTGGCTTGAACAACAGAATTATTTTCTCACAGTTCTGGAGGCTAGAAGTCCAAGACCAAGGTGTTGGCAGGACTGATTTCTACTGAGCTCTCTCTCAGCCTGCAGGTGGCTGCTTTCTCCTGTGC